ACATTCCCGCAGACACCAAATAGATATGAGAAATCGTAAAAGGTCGTTCTTTCTTAAGAGTGTGGGTTGGTATGGTGCTACTGACGAATAGTTAAAAGACATCCGTATCTTCACTCTCACCTAAACCTCGCCCACACCCTCAATCAATGATTCAATGGTACGAATAAGACAAGATTGTCAATATAATCATCTTTAGTATTTTCCCTTGAAAATATCAAAATATTAAATAGATAACGTTTGAAATAGTGAATAAGTATTTATTGAGAATGAATTACATGAAGCAGAAAACAATATTTAAAGATTAAATAATTTAATAAAATGATAATTGTATAAGGATACAGCATAAGTGATACATCCAAAGAATTGAAAAAAAAGTATAGTGAATAAAATGTTCATATTTTCGAAATTGTTCAATCGATTGATTCTGTTTATTCTAGAAGAAACACAGTTGGAACCAACAAGGAATACATTTCTATTTATCTTAAATGTAAGATAGATTTAATATACAATATGCTAACTAAACAAATCTTTCCACGAAAATCAGGTCTTCTCTCGTTTGCCTATTATTCCAATTCCATCTTATATATACTAGATAATCTAACTGTGAAAGATTCCCAGATGTGTTTCAAGGATTTCAATACAAAATTATAGTTTAATTTTATTTATTTCAAAAAATGATTTTCTAAATTTATACATAAAACAAATAAAACGTCTTTTCTCTTCTTGTTCTACCACCATAAAAATAAATCATCATCAATAAGTTTAATAGAATAATCTTTGAGTAAATTATTTGATTCAATTAAAAGATTGATTTTGTCTAAATAAGTTTCTGATAAATCTCTAATACATAAAAAATTCAAATGAGCCATATTTAATAATAAATATTGTGTTATGAAAATAAATTCTTTTTTCAATAAACCAGTTTCAAATAATTTTAATTTTGGAAATAAATTCATAAAAAACGAGATTTCTTTTAATGAACAACAATGAATTATTTGAAAATTTTCAATTCTATTTTTATTTATTACAGATTGATATATCTCACTTTCTTCAATTAATTTTAATCGACTTTCATCAAATGAATAATAAAACAATTGAAATGTCTTCAAATTAGGTGCAACCTTAATTAAATTCAAGATTTCATTAACACGAAATTTCTTTGAATCAATAACTAATTTATTCAATTGATGTAAAGGAAGAATTCGATTAAGACTTGTTAAAATCGAATCACAATGATAAATTGTTATTTCTTTTACATTTGGAAAATAACTAACAGGTTCATTGCCATTTGGTGCATCATGTATAAATAAATTGTGAATTGATTTAAAATCATCTTGTTTCATATTTGAATTAGTACGATTATGATCACCATTCCAATAAAATTGATAATCTTTTCTTCTAAATAAAATATGTAAGAAAAAGAGGAAATGAACAAAAGTGAGATTTACCGATATAGATTTGTTGAGAAAAAGATTCCATTATTTGATTTCAATTCACCATTATAACAATGTTGAAAAAACCATTGTTTATCTTTCCAAAAGCTCGATTGAAAATCGGTACTTAACCACGCATATACAAATTTATTCCACATTGAATTATAATTATTTTGTAGATCAAAAATACGTAAATTAGGTAATGAAGATGAAATGATTTGTTGCCATTGTTTTCCAGATAAATATGTTGAATCATTAAATGTTGTTATACTTAATTTCTCAATATGTTTAAAACAATTTTTAATTAAGTTTTTCAATTGATGAAAATGGATTGAATAAAGTTCAAGTGAAACTGATTTTAAATCTTTAAGTTCAATTGGAGCAAATTCGATTTTTGATGGATGGTCTGATCCAATAAGAGAATTCATTGATAAATGACGAAGTTTTGGAAGACAAATTAAAAATTCTTGTAGAGATTCATATCGAAAATGACTATTAATAATAAGATATTCGATTGGACTTTGTTCCAATTGAGTAAAATCAATTAATAAGTCTTCTTCAACTTGATATGTTAATTGACAAGATTTTAATTTTGTTAAACAAAATATATGAAGAAAAATAGGCGAAAGATTTTCAATGCAATCAATAATTGAAAGATTCAATGAATATAATTGTGGTAAATGAATTAAATATTTAAGAATGTTAATAAGATATTTTGAACTAATATTGTCTAATATTAATTTTTCAATTTGAATAAAATTAATAATAAGATGTGAAGGACAAAATATCAAATCAATTGTAAATGGATTCGATAGATGAAGAATTTTGATTTGATCGTGATTTGGTTTAAGAACATGATGATGATAAGATTGAAAATCTCTTTTTGATATATTCGAAAGATTTAATTGATATGCAATATTAGAATTAAGATATAAATTTTGAAATCGATTATTAAGATAGAAAAATCCAAAATAAATATCGTTAACATCAAGATAATCAAAGATTTTATAAATAAGTTCATCGGTTAAACTTTCATAACAAGATTTAAATAAAGTAACAGGTTCTAAATCAGCGAATATATCTGTTGTTACAAATAATTTTCGTTTTTTGTTATTATTTTCATTTGAAATAACGTCGTCTAACGGTCGCTTTATTCCTTCCATTTTTCGATGATACTGATCGAAAGAATAACGAACAAGAACATATATATATATATTGAGAAAGGGAACACGTGATATCATGTTTATTCTTTTTCCTCTACATATACAATAGATTTAAAATACAACAACAATGATCTGCATTGAACTTCTATTTTATTTCGTATATTAATTAAGATTACAATGTCATATTTAACATTGTGAATGTGGTGCTAATCACTTCCTCACATCCACACCCTTCTTTTAATAGATTGTATTCTATATGATAAGAAATTTTTTTTTCTCGTTTATTTATTATTTAGCGCATTTCAATCTCGACTGAATTTCTATGTCAATTTTGACATATGTCTACTTTAACTACCGATGTGAATGCAGTTGTTATGATAGAATCAAAAGACGTTTTTAGGTCAATATGCATCAGAAAATAAAATAGGAACTTCGGCGATATTGTAATTGATGTCTACGCGTTTCTTTTAGATTTAAATAATAGAAATCTAGTAACTATTACATATTTTGTTTGCCTGGATTTTTTCCTATTCTTTTTGTATTAATTAGAAATCAACTTTGACGGTAAGTTTTCCGATTCATTTAGTTTTTTTCTTTTCTTTTTCTTTCTTCGTCCGTGATACGCGTGCAAGATGACAACGCAAAAAAAAATAACCATTTCACAATCCTTAGTGTGACGACAAAAACATTTTTTTCAACATATAAGTAGGGAGCACTACTAAATCGTTACTTCTACTTTCTTCATCATTCTTTGACAAATAATTTGTCGTGCACATTATAATGCCAACATACAAACTCTATTATTTTTATGGTCGTGGTCGAGCTGAAATAGCTCGTTTGATATTTGCTGCTGCTGGAGAGACATATGAAGATATTCGATATGAACGTGAGGAATGGCCATCACATAAATCCGAAATGCCATTAGGTCAAATGCCAGTTCTCGAAGTCGATGGAGTGAAAATACCTCAATCAATGACAATTGCTCGTTTTCTTTCTAAACAATTTAAACTTGCTGGTAAAGACAATCTTGAACAAGCCAAAGTTGATGCTGTTGTTGACACAAGTATTGATTTGGCTGTGAAATATGTACCACTTCTCATGCAACAAGACGAAAGCAAGAAAAAAGAGGAAATCGCAAAATTCTTTACTGATGAACTACCGAAACATATGAAGAATTTTGAAACTCTCGGAAAATTATATGGCGATGGTAGTCAATTTTTTGTTGGAAATCATTTAACTTTCGCTGATTTAGAAGTCTATGATATGTTAAGTTATGTTGTTAAAATCGATGACAAATTTCTTCAATCTTATCCTTGGTTAGAACGTAATCGTCAAGAAGTTGAAAAAAATTCAAAAATTGCCGAATATATTAAGAATCGAAAAGAAACACCATTTTGAAACAAATCGTTCTATAAAACTCAAAATATTTTTTTTTCTTAAGTTTGTAGAATTAACTTTTATTTAGTATATTCTCTCAATCTTAATATCGTACAATAAAGGACAATATAATAAGAGCAAAAATACTATTTCTAAATAATAACAATATGCAATTATTTTTCTGATTATATCGTTGAAGTTGGATAAAAAGAAAAGTAAAAATAGTTAATTACACTCTCGTCGATTATATATATACATTATGAAGGAAAAAAGAATATAAGTAAATGATAAATAACAAGAAAAAATGGATTACTTATTTCTATCGAGAGGACAACGCACGTGTTTGAATGAATCATGAAAACTATTACATCCATTTTTGCTTTCATAACTCGATACTAAACTCAGTAGTTTAAACGTATATGTAATGGAACCTGTTGCAAAATCAGTGCGACTAGTCTTATATCACTTTTGTCTCAAGAGACGGAACCATTATTTAAAGGAAATGAATTCGATATTTAACAGCTAGTGGAACAATTAAAGACTACTATTGCAGTAGATAAATTAAATTGTACATATCTAAACTAATTTTTGTATAATTAGTTTATTATTAACTTTGATTAGACATGCAACTTGAGAAAGAACATATCTTTTTAATAGATAAAACATTAGTAATTAGTTCATAGATAATTATTATAAAATATGGTGCAACAATCTAGTGCATAAATGATCGCTCGTCTTCTACTGTCTCTTTAATATAACTTATATATAAGCCGATTCATTTTACGTGATAAGTATTACATGATATTTGGTACATCGTATAAATCATATACATTATTAGATGACTCAATGACGCTGTTCTCTTTTTACTCGAGAGATGAAAGAAGAAAAAAGTATATATACATATGAACAATCGATGATGTATCGAACAAGAAACACTATAGCATGATGAGTTGATGTAATAACATTTTCATAAACATAAAGTAAATTCTATGTGTGTATGAAGAGTTATTATAAATTTCACATAAATAATTGACATACAGTTAAATAAAAATGCGGATTATTTATAGATAGATGTGTACTAACTAAACAATGCTTTGGAGCAAAATTCTTATTCTTATTATTGTTATTATAATCTGTGTTGTTATAGTCTTGATTTTTAATCAATCGTCATCATTTCCAAATCAAATCACAAAATTTACATTTGATGTTGCAAAAGAATCTGAAAATTCAATTATCCATCACTTACAAGATGGTATTCATTTAGCTATCGTCTGTGCAAATCAAAAGTTTAATGAAATAGCTCTTACTACTATAAAATCAATCATGTTTCACCATCGAAAATCTTATATTCTCATATTTCATATATTTACAGATGCTCATGGAAAACAATTAATTAGCACGTATTTTTCTTCTATGATAAATGTTTGTACACAATTTCGAATATATTCGATAGATAATCTAATGAAAGTAAGTCAACAGTTTTTGAAGAAACATCGTATAACTGTTTCACATTATTCGGGTATTTATGCTTTTTCTAAAGCATTAATTCATGATTTACTACCATCTGATGTACAACATGTTATTGTGATTGATACTGATGTTATATTTGTTGATGATGTATATTCTATTTGGAAACAATTCGATTTGTTCAAGCGAAATCAGACTGCATTGGGTTTAGTACCATGGTATCCACTTGTACCGATCGATTACAAATACAAAGCATCAGCTCCTGATCCATTTTTAACTGGTATTGTCTTATTAGATTTAAATATTTGTCGACGAATTAATTTTACACAATTATTGGATAATGTAGTTGATACTGCATATCAACAATTTCAACTTAGATCATTATGGTCTGCAGATCAAGTTGTTTTGAATCTTTTTGCAACATATTTTCCAGATTATTTTACTTCATTACCATGTTTTGTAAATGGACATACGTTTCATTATTTACTTGATGGATCACGATGGAAATCGAGTTGTAAAGGAAAATATCCTCGAACTCTTCATGTCGTGCCTTCGAGCAATTTATTAAATAAATCATCTTATTTTGGCCATTGGTATGCGACTTTTAATGAAATGCCTATTGAATGGTTGTCTTATTGCAATCTAGATCAGTTACGAATTGAAAATCGAACTAACATTTAAAACCAGAAAAAAATGTAAAATATTTCTAATGAAATGTATAAATTTTCTCTTTTTAAATATTTTTGTTATCGAGGGTGTGACAAAGTTAAACAATTTAACTTATCTTTTTTTTCAAACAAAAACTTAATCTGAAGCGATGAATTTGTTCTTTATATCTGAAATTCTACTTGTATAGCCCAATGATCTGAACAAAATCGTTGAATTGATTGAATCATTTCACGACCTTGAAGTTTGAAAGAAATTGGTTTAAAATCAATTGTAGATGTTGTTGCTGGTCGAAAATAAAGACGATCGAAACGATGACGAGGTAAAAAACCATTACGTGGAAAACTCAAATTCAAATTTGTATTAGTTTGCATATCCCATGTATAAGTATACTCTTCCTTCTTACCCATTTCAATCCATAAATCATGAATACCTGCTGGAATATTACCTGCTTGTTGTAACTGAAATAGAAAATACTAATGAAAAAGCAGCAATTTCTATAAACTGAATGCTTACTTCATGATCATGAAGATTTAGATCACCACCAAAGAGAACAATTCGATTTTTTGGGGCGTTGATCATCTTTTGAAAACAGAATTTCAATTGTTGAGTACGTTCTTTAACTGCTGCGTCACAACTTTCAAGATGAGATGTCATCAAATCAATTTCTATCGAATTCTTATAAATACCCTAGAAGAAAAAAAGTTATTTGATTAGAATTGAAAGAAGCAGATAGATAACTCACGTTAACGATTAATAAATTTCTATTCATTGTTGTCCATGGATAAGACAATACTGAATGATTTTGAATTTGAAATACATCACGTCGAGTAAAAATAGTTACAAAATAATTTTTGAGGTCACCTAGAGAAGAAGCTTTAAGGTATATATTTCTTAAGTGAGTTCAACTTACCAACATAAAAATCATAATCACATAAATGAGTTTTAAGTATATCAAGCGACGTTGAAATAACTTCTTGAAAAAAGATTGCATCTGGTTTTTCTCTAAAAATGATAACCATATCAATTCATTTCTTATTATAAATTCTTACTGTTTAATAATATTAACAACACCATTAATGCGTTCGTTAAATAGTTTTGGATTGCAAGTATCAAATGCATCGATATTCCATGATATTAATTTAAAAGACTTTTTCAAATTTGATGTCGGTTTCTCAGATAAGGATGATAGACGAGCACTCTTTTTTGGAAGTAGTTGTTTGATCACTTGTTGAGAAATTCTACGAAGATTATAACAAGCTTTTTAATTTTGTATTGTTTTACATTTATTAAACTAAATTATTACCTAAGATAATTCATATTCAAGTAAGATTTTGCGAACAAAAACATATCAGTTATTAAACTAGACAAAATGAATTTTCAGGTGCCATTGTATTCAACTTGCCAGACGATTGAAACTGATTGGTTACAAAATTCAATGACTGATAATGAGATATGCTCACAATTATGAAAAGATGGAGACATCATCCGATTACATTTATTCTTAACAATATCTTTAAACAATTATGATCTGTGAAAAATATTATAGGAATACAAAGTTCATAAATATTTTCAGAGAATACAACACACATCGTGATGGTTTACACATAAAGGATGAATGATGTTTGTTGAGCTGCGACTTGAAGTCGTTCTTTACCTGCCGTTGACAGTCCACAATTACAAATATGTATTTGATGAAAGATACGATTTTCAAACATAGCAGAACAAATAATATCTACACTTGCATCAGTTATTAATGCATTGCCAGATAAAGTTATCATTACGATACCACAGTCACAAGATTTGATCGTCTCAAGTAATACTTGAACTCCACGATCACTAATTTCATTATTGTTTAACCAAAGATAGATTATTCCATGATTTCTTCGAATCATCTCAGCAAGGTATTTACAACTAGTGTCAGACATACCAACAGAATCCAAATAAAGAGTTCTGAAACAAAGATTTGCATTTGCTAATCCTCTAGCAATAAATTCAACACCTGTATCTAATATTCGATTGCTATCAAGTATTAGTGACTTGAAAGTTTGATTGTCAAGAAATACCTGAGACAAGATAGAAGCACCAACAGATGTGATTACATTATCACTTAAATTGAGTATCATACATTGCTTTTCAACAATACCTAACTTAACAACTATTTCGATGTCTTGATCATTTAAATTCATGGATTCTAAAGATAATTTACTACGCATTTCTGATGCTCGAATCACTTCTTCGAGTCTTGGATTGCGATATTGATTGAGTTTTGGAATCGGATTCAATATTAAGCTATCGAATGATTCAACATCACGTAAATGAATTATATGAATTGCATCAGTTTGTTTTGATGATCCTATGACCTTTAGAACAATTCCAGGTAAAAGAAGAATTTCATTATCATTCACAAGATGTGAATGTGCTTGAATAAATTTTCCGTGTTTTGTTTCGATAACAAATATTGTTTGTACTTTTTCTCTACCCAAATACATTGGTGATTGAAGAACATCGATTGGAGATGTTGTAGAAGTCAACGACCGCCATGTTAACTTATCACCTTCTCGATAATGTTCACTGACATCTTTAGCAATACCACGCCAAAAAGTATGTTGTTCAGTATATCTACAGTTGAGCAAATTCAAATAAATTCAATCGATGAATAAATTACTTACGGTAATTTGAAGAGTGCCGTAAACAATAATTTGAGATATTTATACCAAGGTTCAAGTCGATTTTTATCATTAGCACAAAGTGCTTGATTAAGACGTACATAAAGACTGTTTTGTGATTGATTCCATTCCATTGTATACAGATAGATCGATGCTGATTCATCTTGAGTTAATCCTTGTTTAGGTTCTTTAGAATTCAATTTGGCAACATTTATGTATAGTTGCAGTTCTGTACCAAGCATATTTTCGAATGGTTGGCATGCTTCTTCGAGAGACACAAGTGATTCCTGTTCATAACAATTGATCGGTTGAAAATTCTGTTTTATTTCATGTATATTTTCGACCAGAAAACGAGGATTGATTTCAAACGAGAGCGACATATTTGTAAACGTATTTTTTTTACTTTCCAACTTAATTCTAGTTTGACTATGCTGTTTTTACTGCATATTATAGACAGTGCAAATAACTATGTAAATAGGCAGGTAAAAATCAACAATAACAACATAATACGCTGCACATGGTGTTGATCATGAAAAGAATAACATATAGATAAAAAGAAAAGAAAAAAGCCTTTTTAATCATCAGAATAATTCAGTTTTTAGTAGTTTACTCTTTATTAGTAAGTTGTTCATATGTGTGATAGATTACTTCAGCAAAAGAAACGAAGAGAGATTTTCTTCTCAATAATTGAAAAAATTTGTATTGACCGATGACAAGTGACACGAAAGAAGAAGGAAGATAAGAAGAAATGTTATATTTACTTTTTCTTTCTTTAATATTCTTATATTCTACAAATCATCATATTTTATACATAGTATGATATAATTTTTATGAGTAGGTTTTTTCCTACTATAATACGACATCTAGAGAACATGGGCATAAGTGTGCGTATTGATGGTGAATAAGAAGAATAATCACACCATCACCCACGTTCACATCCACACCCACACATTGGAGTATCGCAAATCTAAAATTGTAACTAGTGTGAGGGCATCACATTAGCCTTACTCTGACACCCACACCCACCCTTAGAAGTCGTTTCACTTGGGAATCAAGTGATTTGCTATGATGGACGAATCATTACCTAACGAATTGTTAATGAAATGTTTCGAATACTTATCGTCTTCTAATCTATTTCATGCATTTTATGAACTTAATTATACCGATTTAATCTTATTCTTTCCAATCATTTTCGGATGCATGGCTTTGATTTCCGAAGCATATCTCAATCTGATTTTGATGCGATTGGTCAAACATACACTTCATCAACACCTGATCAAATAACAGCGATTTGTCTCTCAAATAGTGAACACACTCCTATGCAAATCGATTATTTTCTTGAACAAGGATTTAAATTTTCTAAATTCATTCATTTACAATCACTTTCAATCTATTATTCACCTGCCGGACTATTAGCTCATCTAATCATAGATGAACTTCAAAATTTACCAAAATTTTCTCGTCTCGTCTACAAATCAGTGTACCTGTCAAACAATTCATTTGATGTACACTATTTCATTAGTAGTATTTGGAATTTAACAAACTTGAAATATTGCTGTTTAAAATTTGAATTTGGAAGGTCTGTTATGTGTTTTCCTGTACCATCCATAGTTTCTTCTAGTATTCAATATCTAACCTTAGAAAATATTGAAATATCATCAAACGAATTTATTCAATTATGCGAACAAACACCAAATTTACAATATTTATCCACGACTCTTACTTTTGAATATCCTTTCTATCGTCAATTGTCAATCGTTCCTAAAATCACTAAAGCATACATAACTTATGCTTGGCGATCGGATCAACTAATAACAGTATTAGAAATGCTCCCTGCATTAAGTTATCTGAAATTAAATATTAAAGATTTTGCTATAGATGGATATCAAGTAGAAAAACTTATTCGAGAAAATTTACCACAACTGAAAGATCTGCATCTTCGTATGGGACATACGTTTGATAATGGTGATAATAAAGAACAAGAAATTGATAGAATATTAAATACTTTTCGTAGTCCATTTTGGATTGATGAACATCATTGGTTTATGCAATGCGAATGGAAGTCAGATGGACACAATTGTGTTTTCTATACATTACCATACATGTTCGAAGGATACCAATATTCAGAACCAATTTTATTGAAAACAACTTATCCTATTGAAAATAAACAATGGCTGAATAAAACAGTATATTCACTTAATTATTTTTTATCAAATTCCGATTGCTCTGCGTTATTAAACATTCACTTTCTCAACGCTACAATTCTTTCTATTAAACTTCCTATTAACGAACATTTTTGGTCTATGATACCAAGTGTTGCTCAAGTAAAAAATCTTTTTGTATCATTCACTGATGATGATGATGATGATAACAATCGAAATCAGCTACAAAATATACTCAGTCAAATAACTTGTTTGTCGATTTTTTACATTCGTGAACATCCATCAAAGGTTTTCAGTATATTATCATTCGACAACAAAGATCTATCTGCATTCTTCTTAGATTTAGTTTCAACTGATTTCGTATATAATAATGATCAATGCGTTTAATTAAGTCAACTGTCGTTTGTCACTAATTGTAAAGCACTTGCTATTGTTGTTGAAAATCGAACATGCGTTACGAATCTTATAAACGCATTG